TATCTCTCCCCAACTGTGTGTGTTTTAGTGGGACTGATAGTCCAGATGCCTCGCCAAGGGTGAAGGGAGGGGACAGGAGCCAAGATAGCTAACTGATCCTCTCCTAGGGCAATGACTCTTGAAAGGAGTGAGGAAAATAAGAAAAAAAGAAAAAAAAGAGGAATCTGCTCTGTCACAGCAGCAATGACAGCTGAGATGTGATTATCAATCAATCGTCAGTCTCCTATCTAATACTGTCTGAAACTGTAACTGCCAACTCAACCTGGACACCTCCTACCCTCACCCCTGCTTCAGTTTTCCCTTGGCACTTGTTGCTCCCTAATATACCATATACCTTATTTATCTGTCTCATGCCTGTCTCCCCTATAAGTGTGTTTTCCATAATGGCAGAAATTTCTGACCATTTGTTTATTGCTGTAGGCGCAGCACCTAGAACACTCTTAGCACACAATAATAGGTACCCATAAATACCTGCCAAATGAATGAATGAATGAATGAATGAATGGATGGATGGATGAATGGGTCCTGGCTCCTGTCCTTTTCCAACCTGGTTATTAGGTTCCTGCTCGATTCTCTGAATCACCTCCATATCTTTTCCATACATGTCCTATTTGCTCAAGTTAGTTCCTTATAACCAAAAATCCTTGGGAGAAAGCCTCGGCAAGAGGCAGCATTAATGATAACAGGTGTATTAACTATGCTTCAGGTACTAAAGAAACTCCTAAATAATACTACAACCTGAAATCAGAACAGAATTGCTACATATAAGACCAAGATCCACATTAAATGCACATATTATATATTTCTCTCCACATTTATGCAGTCAATTTCTCCAAGAGATAAAATGTGGTTAATGTCTTCTCGGAAGTAGGATGTGAAACAATTTAAGCTTATTTAAAACAATTAAAGGTCCTAAGTCACTTAACAAATGTATTATATGGGGGGAAAGTCCTAAACTTAAAAAAAGCAATTATTTATGTGTTTCATTTTATTAACAATATGATCATTTCGAACTTCCTCTGTGTCCCTGGCACAGTAACACACAAATACCACTTTCAATGCAGCACCATCTGCCAACATTCCTGAGAGGAGGAAAGGTTCCAGCAGTCTTCTGTTTGAGGCCATTTGTCTTAGTCTGTTTTATTTTATACAGAATACCACAGACTGGGTAATTTATAATACACAGAAATTTATTTGGCTCATGTTTCTGGAGGCTGGGAAGTCCAAGAGCATAAAACTGGCATCTGGCAAGGGCCTTCATGCTGTGTCACCCCATGTGGAAGGCAGAAGAGCAAAAGGGGGCCAGACCCACTTTTATCAGGAACCCACTCTCAAGATAACAGCATTAATCCATTTAAGAGGGCAGAGACCACATGTCCTAATCATTTCTTTTTTTTTTTTTTTTCCTTTTTGTCTTTTTTTGTGACCGGCAACGGATCGCAACCCTCAGTGTCGCACCCGGACCGGGACCGGCAACGGTATCGCAACCCTCGGTGTTGCGCCCGCACCTCGCTCAGCCAGTGAGCGGGAACCGGCCTGTATGTGGGATCCGAACCCTCGGCGGGAGCGCCACCGTGCTCTCAAGCGGCGCACTGTAGCAGTGCGCCACCGGGCCGGCCCCTAATCATTTCTTAACAGTCCAATGGCAATTAAGCTGGAGGAGAACATTCAGACCATAGCACTATATCACTCTGTTCAGGCTGCTATAAGAAAATACCATAAACCTAAGTAGCTTAAACACAACAGAAATTTATTTCTCGCAGTTGTAAAAGCTGGGAAATCCAAGATAAAGGCAGATTCAGTGCCTTGTGACAGCCCACTTTCTGGATCACAGATGGCGCCTTCTGGCTGTGTCCTTCATATGGCAGAAGGAGTGAGGATTGCCTCTCAACCCTTCTTTATAAGGGCACTAATACCATTCTTGAGGGCTCCACCCTTATAGTCAAACTGCCTCCCAAAGGCCCCATCTCCTAATACCATAACCTTGGTAGTTAGAATCTCAACATACAAATTTGGGCAGAGAGAATGACACAAACATTTAGACCACAGCAGCAGAGACCAAAGAGAGAGCAGAAGACATTGATTCTATCTGAAATAAATCCAGGAAATGACTGAACTCACTAAGAATATTAAACCAACATTGCACTTCCCAGGGCCAGCATACAACTCTTGTGCTACATCCATTAATTTCAAAAGATAATTTTCTAATATATGAGCCAGAGAAACTAAACAAGGACCTACCCATGAACAGATATGTATCAACACACTGCCTGGTACTTCCTGGGAGATACTCTACAGCAAATAAAACAAATACAGTTATCGACTTGGAAAAACAAAATTATAACTAATATTCAGCATATATCCATATATTTCTGATATTTCATATTCAGCTTCTCTAAACGTTAACCAAACTGTACATAACCACCCCTTTCCAACCCAGGAAAAAATACTCTTGCTGACTGGAGGCAGACCTCATAAGAATCACAACACTATGAAGTTGATATGAGATACTTTAAGGAACAAAAATCACAACTCTCATTTTTGAAACTATCACTGTGGTCCTAGGCTTTTCTGGCAGAAAATACTGGTTTTGTTACCTAATCTCTGCAACATTGTAAGGAAGTCTGCTTGGTACAGTATTCATTCTTTTTTTTTTTTTTTTTTACATACCTAGATATGAAGGTAAGGTAAAAAGAAAACAAGTTTAATCTTGGTCAAAACTGATTTCCAGGGGCCGGCCTGGTGCGCACTGCTATAGTGCCCCGCTTGGGAAGTGCGGTGGCGCTCCCGCCGAGGGTTGGGATCCCACATACAGACCGGCCGCTCACTGGCTGAGCGAGGGGCGGGAGCAACACCGAGGGTTGCGATCCCGTGGCCGGTCCCGGTCCGGTACGGGCGCGACACTGAGGGTTGCGATCCGTTGCCGGTCACGAAAAAAAAAAAAAAGACAAAAAGGACAAAAAACAAACAAACAAACAAAAAAAACTGATTTCCAATGAGGATAACTCACTTCCATGACCACTTTAGAGTTCACCGTGAGGGACACTAGGCAGTCAAATGCTCCACTGAAAGAGAGGTGAAAACAGCGCGTGCTGCTCTGAGGATTTCCTAACTGCCTTAGCGGAAAACCAAGAACCGGTTCTCTTCCCTCCCATCCTCAGCTCCTCTGTGCACAAAAATATTGGGAGAGTGAGGTCGCTGCTCTCAGCTGTTAATACAAAATAAAAGTTTTGCAAAACAAAACAAAAATAAGAATAATAGTTTCACAAAATAAAAGTTCACTGTTTCTTAACTGTACATCCTTCCAAGCCCCAGCTTTGGTATCTAATTCTCCACACCACTCACTGCTACTTCAGGAATTCCTGTACAATGTTTCTGGCTCAGGGTCTCCACTGTGTGGAGAAGTCACAAACTTCCTAATCGAGCTTTTTCCTCCTGATAGGCACTTAAGACATAAATGAGACTGGGGGTGGGGGAGCTTAAAAAGGGGGGGAAGCACCCTAAATATCTGAAATACTTCTGTTCCAGAGTAATTTCTCTCACAGAACATTGCTCACTCTCTCAACTGCAAGATGAACTTACTGATGCTACTCAACAGCACCGCATGTCACCAGGCACGCCATTTCCCGGGCGTCTCTGTGAGAGGGAGGCAGGGACGGGAGACGAGCGGTCTGAGACAGAGGACCGCAGGGGTCTTCCCGCACGAGGGCCGGACCAACCGGCGCTTGCATACGGACGAAAGGGTGAATTGTCACCAGCGTGTTCAATCTGTCCCCGCGTCGCGCTAAAACCCCCTCCACGCACCACAGAGCTTCAGACCAAACCTCAACACCAAGCAGCTACGTTAAATTAAACAGGGTCCTCCCCAGGCAGTTCCCGGGCCACTACTATCGCCCGCCCTCGGAGACCGCAAAGACGCGGTTCTTGTAGCGTTGTCGCTCTCTCCCTCCCCGGACGGCTAACGGTCCAACACCAACAGGGCATTGCTCGCCCCTCGTGCTCTAAATACTACCCATTATTTGTTTTTGTTTTTGTTTTTTGGTGGCTGGCCAATAGAGGGATCTGAACCCTTGACCTTACCGCCTATTATTATTAAACTTCTCGGCTTTTCATTCTCAGATTTCTTCAAAATCTGGCTCCAACCTATTGTCCTTGCTTTGCCTCTTGCAACTTGTTTGTCCTAAAAGGATTGCCTTACGTCCCAAAGTCTCTATAGGACAAGATCAAGTCACCACTTCTGATACTCTCCCAACCCCACAGCCCAAATAGGACAGGTTCCTCAGACCTGGTATCTAGCAGATCCACCTCCCGGCTCTGTGCTGAAGGCCTGGAGGGGGACATTGCTGCTACTCTTTGAATTCCCAGTGTTTGACTCATGGGTAGAAACTCAAATATTTGAAGGAATCAGTAGTAGAACCTGAATGCTTTGGGAGATCACAGTTCAGAAGAAAGTATAATAATTAGGAAAGTCAGAAAAATTCTTCACAGAGGGAGTCACAGTCAAGCTTTGCAGGGTGAGTGGGCTATTTAACAGGGAGAAGGGGGACACAATACATTGTCCAGTGTGGTGAAGAGTGTGGGTGAGGCATGGGATTGAAGAGCTCGGAGCTGTCTGAGGGACAGCAGGTCATCCAGTTGTGTCAAAGCTTGATATGCATGTAGTGGCACACGCGGTGGCACAGTCGGCCTGTGTCTTGTGTGCCAGTCCCTTGGAAGTAAATGGGCTGTCCTGGTTGTCTTCTCTCTACTGGTCAATTGTAGCTCTTCGGGGCAGCATTTCAGTGTAGCAGTAAGAGAGGTGGCTTTGTGTTGAGACTGCCAGGTGCCATTTCCAGTGCCATCATTTTATTGTTGTGCCTCAGTTTCCTCATTTCTGAAGTCTATAAAATAAGTTGTCAATATAGTTATTCATCTTTTACAGTGGGTCAGGCATTGTGCTAAGAACTTTACATTTAATCCTCACAGATTTATGAGGAAAGTACTGTTATTATCCCCATTTTATGTCTGAAGAAACTGAGGCAAAGGGCAGTTACATAACTTTCAAGGCCAGCGCCAACCCGTTCGAAGTGAAAGTCAACAGGCAGAAGTTCCAGGTCCTGGGCAGAAAGACGCGCCACGACGTGGGGCTGCCTGGTGTGTCCCGCGCTCGGGCCCTCAGGAAGGTAAGCGGGGACGCCCCTGGAGCGCCGCCCGCCGCGCGACCGGACGGCATGGACGCCGCGCGGTGGGCCACGCTGGGTGGCGGCGAGGCCCTGGGCTGGCCGCGTGCTTCCCTGTGCCTCAGTTTCCCGAAGTAAGGTGGAGACCGTGCTTCTGCTCTTGCGTGGGCTGGAACGGCCTCCTCGAGACCCCGCACACGTGTGCTTGCTTGGAGACCCCCTCCGACGGCCTCACACAGAGGCAGTGACTCGGGAGCTGCCCTGGCGTCCTGCGCGCGTTCTGGCCCTTCCTCAGAGAGACGCTGAGCTCTGCCGGCTTAGGGACCGCGGGGAGGGGTTATTTAGGGTGCTGCTGCGTAGGTGACTGACATGCCCCCTTCTGTGCACAGTCTCGTGCTTCCATTCTTCCTGTGCTCTTGGTCCCGTCCCGGAGTGTCCTGTACCCTCCTTTCAAATTCAGTTAACAAAGGGCACTCTGTACGCGACTTCTAAGACATGTTCATTGGTTTGGGTTTTTTTAAACAATATTTATTAGTCTGAGGGAGGTACATTAGCAGGTTGGTTGAAAACTTTAGGCAGATAAAGGATAAGTAAATTTCGTAAGGTCACACAACTGGTGAGGACTGGGACTTGCATTTGGGTTTCAGTGTCTGCAAATCCTTTTTGCTACACTCAGCACTTATGTTTAAGCTCTTTCCTAGCTACTGGGGAGATAAAAGTAAGACAGACTTGGCCCCTGCCTTCAAGAGCTCATAATCTGTATTTTCTCACAATGTGCAATCCTTGAATGGAATCAAAATCATCCTTACTGCAAGAAGCTGACAGTATGGAGAGCAGACAAGACACACTTACGAGTGACTTCAGAGTCCCTCATTACACATCCGAGGGCAGGGGTGGAAGGGAGGGCATGGCGAAGTGGGATGGTGTGGTCTCTAGAGTAGACACATTTGTCTTCATCACTTGAGCCTCAGTCTTCTCATTTCTAAAGTGGGAATAACAATACTTCCTTCCTCTCGTGGTGGTTATGAGAATTAAATAGTGCATTTAGCACATAAGTATTCTCTAAATACTACCCATTATTTGTTTTTGTTTTTGTTTTTTGGTGGCTGGCCAATAGAGGGATCTGAACCCTTGACCTTACCGCCTATTATTATTAAACTTCTCGGCTTTTCATTCTCAGATTTCTTCAAAATCTGGCTCCAACCTATTGTCCTTGCTTTGCCTCTTGCAACTTGTTTGTCCTAAAAGGATTGCCTTACGTCCCAAAGTCTCTATAGGACAAGATCAAGTCACCACTTCTGATACTCTCCCAACCCCACAGCCCAAATAGGACAGGTTCCTCAGACCTGGTATCTAGCAGATCCACCTCCCGGCTCTGTGCTGAAGGCCTGGAGGGGGACATTGCTGCTACTCTTTGAATTCCCAGTGTTTGACTCATGGGTAGAAACTCAAATATTTGAAGGAATCAGTAGTAGAACCTGAATGCTTTGGGAGATCACAGTTCAGAAGAAAGTATAATAATTAGGAAAGTCAGAAAAATTCTTCACAGAGGGAGTCACAGTCAAGCTTTGCAGGGTGAGTGGGCTATTTAACAGGGAGAAGGGGGACACAATACATTGTCCAGTGTGGTGAAGAGTGTGGGTGAGGCATGGGATTGAAGAGCTCGGAGCTGTCTGAGGGACAGCAGGTCATCCAGTTGTGTCAAAGCTTGATATGCATGTAGTGGCACACGCGGTGGCACAGTCGGCCTGTGTCTTGTGTGCCAGTCCCTTGGAAGTAAATGGGCTGTCCTGGTTGTCTTCTCTCTACTGGTCAATTGTAGCTCTTCGGGGCAGCATTTCAGTGTAGCAGTAAGAGAGGTGGCTTTGTGTTGAGACTGCCAGGTGCCATTTCCAGTGCCATCATTTTATTGTTGTGCCTCAGTTTCCTCATTTCTGAAGTCTATAAAATAAGTTGTCAATATAGTTATTCATCTTTTACAGTGGGTCAGGCATTGTGCTAAGAACTTTACATTTAATCCTCACAGATTTATGAGGAAAGTACTGTTATTATCCCCATTTTATGTCTGAAGAAACTGAGGCAAAGGGCAGTTACATAACTTTCTTCAGGTCAGAATTGATGGGGCTGAGATCCGAACTCAGACTAAGTGCTTGACACCTACACGCTTAGAGACAATTTCCTGGTGCCCAGCACCGTGCTAAGTGATTTCTTTTATTAACTCATGTATTCCTCTTAACGACGGCCTGAGGTAGGTGCTACGTTTCCTCCCTTTTATAGAGGTGGCCACTGGGGACAGAGAGCGTAATCACCTTCCAAAGTCCTGGCTATGAGGGGGTGGAGCTGGTGGGATTCCATGTCCACACTCTCGCCTACACCTCCTAGGCCTTTGTGAGGAGGCGGTGGAGGTACAGGAGCTACTTCCGTCTGGAGCTCTGTTCACTGTTAGTGAGGTGTCCTGGTGAGAATGTCCCCCTCCCCATCATAGGTAACTTCTCCATGCCCCTCAGGTCCTGGTCTTAAGCCTCTTGGAGATGCACATGATCGTCTTCTGCCAGCTGTGCTGCCCCTGTGTTGTAGACTTTAGGGACCTTTTGATGGTGGATGTGTAACTTGTTTGTGGAGCTGTAGTATAAACAGTATCTGTCCTAAAGTTGGGCCTCCTTTATGTTTTGCTGTGTGCCCTGCCTCCTCCCTCTTGAGTTAAATATAACTTGAAAATGTGTATACAGTTTCTTGTCAAATATTTTACCTGCTTCTTCCCCACTGAAGATCACCCGCTGGTGATTGTACGAGGTGCACACAGTGTGCATCCTGCATCTAACACAGAGGCTGCGCTTGCCTAGCCTAACTAATGTTTAAAACAGAGTTGGATCATCATTCAAGGGGTCTTTCGTTGCATGATGATTCCACTTTGATACTGATTCCTTTCATCACTGGTTGCTGTATAAACTCCAGTTAAATGGCAGCCCATTAGCAAACATAAGAACTTTTTTCCACTGAAGAAATCCTTAATGTAGCTAACGCCGGCTGCAAAGGCCACAGTCATTCCTCACCCCCTCTATCTTTTGCCTGCTTTAGGGAATTCAACCTCAAGGACTGCCAACTTTGAATAATTTTGAGCTGGTTCATTGTTACTGCTGAGGAAGTACCAAGCAGCAGTTATTTGATACTTGCTATTAGTTGTTGAAATCTGTATTTAAAATATTGCTCCTCTTGATGTTCTAAAATGTAAAGTCTATGACCCCCACCTTATAAACTTGTTTATGATCTTGTATCACACATGAAGGCACAAGTATATATTTCCTAGGAATATCTTTCATGAGAAATAAACCCCTTCCTCCATGATGAAAGGGATCTAAACGTATTCTCCTTTTCCAGGTGAATGTGACTTAAAGCACACACTTTACTAAATCGTAGGGGAGCTGCTACAGCTGGAAAAGCAGCTCCGTGTTTTTAGCTTGGCTCCTGTGCTCTTTTACCCTTCCTTTCTTTCAGCACCAACAAATAAACTCTAAAGAGAAAGTAAAGTAATTACCCCATATCATTGCAAGTAAGTTGGTTTTCTCTTCTCAGAATTCTGTTCCTAGTAGGGAAGGCCTATTTTGGTTGAAAGCAGATTGTGTACGTACTTTGACATCAAAAGTGTGCATAGCTTAGCTCTGAACTTTAAAATATGTACCGTTCTGGTGTCCCCTGTAGTGGAAATCACAGGAAGTTTTTTTTTAATTTAATTGAAACATAATTGATTATACATATTTGTGGGATTAAATCAGGATAATTAGTATATTCATCATTGCACAATGTAATCATACTTTGTGAGCCTTACCAATTTCTCGCTAACTCCCCTCCGCCCTTCTCACTTCCAGTGACTTCAGTTGTGTTTTCGCAGGAAGTTTTTGTGAGATGTTTTATGATCCGTTTTTTCAGCGTACCCAGACTTTACTAAAGGAGTACAAAGAAAGGAATAAGTCCAATGTATTTACTGATAAACGTTTTGGGGAGTACAGTAGCAACATAAGCCCAGAGGAAAAGATGATGAAGAGGTTTGCCCTGGAGCAGCAGGTATGGAGAAGAAACTGCAAGAGGTATTTTCTGTACGTTTTACACAGAAGTCAAGCCCAAGGAGAAGGCTGTTTCTCCTTGTTGTTTGTTTATACCTTCGTGGGCACTCACCCTCTAGGTACAGGGCATAAGTTTTAAATCCTGTAACTTGTCTGGCTAGCCAAACGGGAAGCAGCCTTCTGCAAATATTCTGTTTGTTTGGGTTTTTTTAATAAAAATTTACAGCACATCAGCAGAGTCCAGTATTAAACACATTCTTTCTTGTGGGCTCTGATTAGGAATCTGATTGCAAATATTAGTTGGATGGGTAAATTTCTTAGGACTAACCAGCAGCAGTGTGTACTGCAGTCCTTAACGAACCGCTGCCTTCAGCTCTGTCGAGTGGAGAGTGAGTGGACTGAGGAGCGTTGCTGGTGGGTCAGGTGCATGATTTACCGGTAGCTGAGCCTGGCCCATTGATTTGTTTAAGAATTCCCCCTGTGAGTTCTGTTTGTATCTGAATCATTGCTCAAATGACCCAGAATAATCTTAAGGCTGCTTAGGCTATATTATCATATTTCACATGTAATGGAAAAATAATTGTTTTTTTGCTGTGACCTGAATGTGGCAATTTTTAAAAACTGATTTTTTTTCCTCTCTTCTGTCAGCGACATCATGAGAAAAAAAGCATTTACAACCTAAATGAAGATGAAGAATTAACTCATTATGGCCAGTCTTTGGCAGACATCGAAAAGCATAATGACATAGTGGATAGTGACAGTGATGCTGAAGAACGAGGGACCTTGTCTGGTGAGGCTGGGAGGTGCCACTGCACAAACCTGAGGGGGCAGAGGGGGGACAGTCTGTTCCCTGTTGTTCCTTCTCCTGCTCTTCTTGGAGACCTAGAATATGTTGTCGCATGAAAGTTTCACTGATCATTAACCTCTCAATAAATTCAACATGATGGGTTTTTTTTTTTAATTTTCTTAATTTCAGAACTTTAAGGTGGTATGTAGAGAGACAGACACTTTTATGTGCTGAAAAACATTTTAATATTCATTATCTTATTTGAAGTTCACAATAACTCGTTTTACCCAGGAGCTCAGAGAAATAAGGTGCTTTACCTGTCCCGAGAGTCAGAGCTGTCGGATAAAACCAGCCTCACTGACTCCTGAGATGGCTCTTTTGCACTGAACTGCTGCACTGCTGTGTTATCTACTATTGTATAAATTCTGGCCTAATATTTGTGCCAATGGTATTTATGTAGTTCTTTTAGTCTGTATTTACTGGGGAACCAGTTATGGCAGTTGTATGAAGGAAATAATACTGAGCCTCACATCTGTAGTTCAGGACTCAGTTCAGGTCTGATAATCTTGGGCCCTGTTCATAAAGTTGTAGTCATGTCATACTTAGTTTGTATCCAGCATTTTCAGAACAAAGCCGCTGAAAACTTAAATTGACTCTCAAAGTTTTTGTCTTTTTAATGTGTTGAAAGCTGTGGTGGCCTGTTAATATTGGGTAACTCAGGGCGAAGGCCTAGGGATTGAGGCAGCACAGTGTGTAGAGGCCTGCCTTCTTTGTAGCAGTGCCAGGAGCAGGACCATGACTCCACTGGAGCTTCATGGTCATAGAGGAATGGCCACTAACTTTAGCTTCTGTGCCTGTCTTTTTGTGCTTTTCATTGTTCAAAACTTTTTGTGCACCCCTAACTATCAAACACACTCACTTGTGGGATTGTAATTTGCTGTGACTCAGGGTAACCTCCTTGGGTGGTGTCTGTTGAACAGTGTTGTCCTCATCAGAATGAGACGCTGTGGTGCTCGGATGACTGGAGGGGAAGTAGGATTCTATTTCTTCCAAGTAACTTGTCCTGGGAATTTAACTGTTCATTTGAGATTTCCTGTCATTCTTCGATTTTGAGTATAAGCTCGCCAAAATCCAGATAATTTATAAGTCTCTAACATTTACTGTAATTTTTTACGAGCCATGAGGAAACTAATTCTATTTTGGTCAGTTCTGTATCACAATATGTCCTCTTAGATTATAAGAATTTCATCTTTAAAATCAACCCTGTGAGGTAGTTGTTACCCTGCATTACAACTGCAGAAGCTGACGCTAAGGACAGGGATAGTCATTTGCTCAAAAGCTGCGCCTCACATCCCAGTTGGCCTGACTCTTGAACTGAAGCTGCTGTGTGTTGTTTCACTGTGTGAGTACAGACGTTTAGCACACTGTCAAGTACACTGTGTTTAGATTTCAAAGTACATGGGAATCTAAAAAGCTTTCTGACTAAATCCTAATATAAACCACTAAGGGAGGATTTTATTTTTTCTTTCTTTCAAGAATTCTTTTCTGAATCTTTTATGTAATGTTACCTTATTAGTTGGTGTTTTGTAGACTTTTATTTTTAGAAAACATTAAAACCAACCTTGAATTACTAGAATACTGAATGAGTAGTGTTTTCCAATATGCTGAATTTGCCAGGAAGCAGAGAAATTCATTCATTCATTCTTTCTTTCTTTCATTCTTCTATTAGTGGTTTATGTGCCAGGCACTGCTCTCTGTTCTGGGGAAATGGCAGTGAACAAAACACAAAAACCATACCCTCCTGCAGGTCTTGTTTTACTGGGGAGACCCAGACTGTCAGCAGAATGATGCAGACTAATCAAAGGCGAATGTGCCGTGGAATAAAAGTAAAGCCAGGGAAGGGCTGGGGCGTGCCACTGGGTAGTCGTGATTAGTCTCACCGAGAAGGTGGTGTTTGTGCAAAGACTCAAGGCTGTGTGGGCAGAGCTTCCGCTGGAGGGAACTGTGAGTTCAAGGGTCCTAAGGTGGGAGGAGCCAGGGGCTGGGGTGGAGGATTTGCAGGGAGGGAATGGTAACAGGCAGGTGGACCAGGGCCTCCTGAGCCACAGGAAGGATTTTTGGCTGTTGCTCAAGAAGGGGAGCCATTGGAGGCATCTGAGCCATGGGACTACACAGTCTGATAGGAAAAGGCCAACAGAGGCCGGCCCGTGGCTCACTCGGTAGAGAGCGGTGCTGATAACACCAAGGCCACAGGTTCGGATCCTGTATAGGGTTGGCTGGTTTGCTCACTGGCTGAGCGTGGTGCTGACAACACCAAGCCAAGGGTTGAGATCCCCTTACCGGTCATCTTTTAAAAAAAAAAAAAAAAGTAAAAGGCCAACAGGATTTCCTAATGAACTGGATATAGGTATGGGAGAAAGAGAGGAATCCAGGATGCCTCCGAGGGTTTTGGCTTGAGCGACTGGATTGATAGAACTGCCATTCTTTGAGACTGTGGGTTAAGCAGATTTTGAAGGGAGTTTGAATCGCCTGTTGGACATCCAAGGGGAGGTTGGAGTCTGGAGTTCAGGGAGAACACAGGCCAGAGACGGGAATGGGAAGTTGTCAGCACGGAGACTGAATGAGGGCCACCAGGTGAGGAAGAGTGGATGGAAAAGAGATGGCCAGAACTGCTGCAACCCTGGGAGCTGAAGAAGAGGACACGGAGAGTCAGGAGCTGCCAGCGGGGTGGGCGCTGGCCACAGTCAAGCAGAGGAAGCATATCCAGCAGGGAGCGGTGAATGTTTCAAACTGCAGACATTAAGAGGAGGACGGAGAACTGACCTGTAGATCAGGCAAGATTCCATTTCATAGGGGAGGCAAGGAAAAGCCAGATAGGAGTGACAAGAATGGAGAGGAGGGGGATTGAAGGCAGCGGGGTAGAGACAACTCGGGGGCTTAATGCAGGGGAACTGAGAAGTGGAAGGGGGAGGTGAGGTGGGATCGAGAGTTTGGTTTCTTTTGACATGGATCCAGTAGAATGAGAAAAATTGGTGCTGGAAAAGGGGGTGGACTTGCCTAGATCATTTCCTTGAGTAGTTGAGAAGGGTGGGAGCGAGCATTCGAAGGGAGGGTTGGCCCTGGACAGTTCTGGGTAACTGGGGGAGGTGCAGCCCGAGGACCCAAAGCTGCTCTGTGGTTGACTGGACAGCAGAGCTTCAGCAGTTTTCACTTCAAGGACTTCTGTTTCTTCAGTGGAGCAGAAAGCAAGGTCCTCAGTTGAGCTGGCCCAAGATTTGTGCGGGTGTGAAGAGACAGGAGTAACAGTCTGGGGAGTGAGAGCATGGACCAGGCACATGTGACTAAAAGGTGGTGTCACGAGCCCACCCAAACTGTGCAGTTCTGAGAATAATGTGAGTTTTCTTTGCACCACACGTTCACCTGCACAGGTATCAGCAGGAAACAGGTAGAGTTTGATTTGGCCAGATGGCAGCTTCAACAAGGAAGCAGGATTGGAGCGGGGAGGGGCTGGACCATGATTATAATGGTGGGCCAGGAACTGAGGCCTTGGGAGGAGGACAGGGAGCCCATGCGAGCCATATTAGGGCTGCAGTGGTTTGAATGCTGCAGGCTTGAGCTGGAGAAATAATCTAAACATTTTGTTTCTCTTACTGGTATGTGATTTTGGGTAAATCACTTCACGTCTGAGCCTGTTTTCTCATCCGAGAAACTGGGTTTTTTTTCAAGGTTTCTTTTTATTCCAAATTCGATAATTCCCACAGTGTTTTGTTTCTCTTCTGCTCTGGCGACTAGGGTAAATTGAAGATCGGTGACTCTTGTTGATGATTCCTGCTCTTGCTGTTAGCTCAGGGCTTTTAAATCACTAAGCCTCTACCCGAGCAGGTGTGAGGAATCAGATGGGTCCTGTCGTGCTGCTGATCCTAGACTCCTCTCCCTCCCAAGCTGGTTCCAGCTTATTTTCTTGGGTTTGCCAGTCTTTCACCAGAATGAACCTAATTAAAAAGCACGTGTTTGGTGTTCCCAGTCACGTGGATTATGGCCAGTTAGTAAATTAATTGGTCTGGGTTTTCTTGGCATGGCTCATCTTGGGGTTTGTTTTTTTGTTTTTTTGTTTTTTAGCATATTCATTATTATAAATCATACTTATTCTTTATGCCCTTTATCTTATTTCTCCCCTTCCCCCGCCCCCTCTAATAACCATAGATTTGTTCAATCCTTTTGATAGATTATCTGATTCTCTGTTGATTTGTTGCTTAGATGATCTGTCCAGTGCTGAGAAGTGTGTTCAGTTCCCCCACTATTATCGTAAAGCAGATGCTTCTTCTGTTACTCTGGAGTGTGCTTTGTGGAGAGAGAGGACCTCTCTTTTGCAGGGGGCATTCTTTGCTGGTGACTCTCCTTGTGTCGGTGCAGTCGAGTGTCTGGTGTGCCATCTGCACGGTGGCTGTTGACTGCTCCTATAGAGACTAGCGGCTGCTGTGGCAATTGTGGTGGCTATGGTGGGCTACACTTGTAGAAATGGTGTTTTTGGTATACTCTTTACCTAGTTGCAGCTGAGTTGGCTTCCACCAGCTCCTGCCTCAGGACCCCAGTGGGGCCCCAGGTGGTGGCAGTGTTCCTGGTTGCAGCTGGGTTCGATTTCCCCTGGCTCCTGCCTCAGGACTCTGGTGGGGCCTTGGGGCAGTGGCAGCAGTGTGCCTGGTTGCAGCTGGGCCCATCTTAGGTATTTCTTAAGTGCCAATATGTGTGTGGTCTCATGGCAGCTATTGTGTGTGAGGATTTTTTCTTTAATGTAGAATCTCTGGACTGCTCTTGGAAACGTGTTGGCAGAGTACTGTAAAAAAATAAAAAATAAAAATGCTTACTGAGCCAGGGCCTGGACTTCACTGTGGTGTTTTCTGCTTTTTGTCTCCAGCTGAGCTGACTGCTGCCCACTTTGGAGGTGGCAGTGGACTCTTTCATAAGAAGACCTCTCAACGGGAAGGGGGGGAGGGAGAAAAACCAAAATCACGGAAAGAACTGATCGAAGAGCTCATTGCAAAGTCAAAACAAGAAAAGGTGGGTTAGTTAATATTCTTGATGTGGGGCAGCTCTGTTGTAGGACATGCTGGTCTCTTTTCTTCTGTTGACGTATTGGTGTTGAGTGGGTGGTCGTTATGTGCATCCTTGGCACTGACATTGGGCTGCTCGGCTGTAGCCCAGCAGTAATGGTGTACTGTGTATGTCTGTTGTTTTCTCCCCAGAGGGAGAGACAGGCTCAACGAGAAGATGCCATTGAGCTCACGGAGAAGCTAGACCAGGACTGGAAAGAAATCCAGACTCTTCTGTCACGCAAAACTCCCAAGTCGGAGAACAGAGATAAAAGGGAGAAACCCAAGGTGGGAATCAAGTGATTGGAGCAGACGCTGGACTTACATCTGTTGATGTGACTTTTCTGTGAGAGAAAGGCCAAGGCTGGACACCTCTTCTGGCCCGCTTCCTGTTAGGACAAGTTTTCTGTTTTATATTGAATTATCTGATATGTGTTTTATCCCAGTGGGAGTAGACTCAGTTACGTCAGTCTCTGCTACAGGTGAATTAAAGAAAGGGTGAGAAGTACTTCAGGGTGGGGACTCGATGACAGGTGTTGGAACTTCCCTGTTACATGTCTGTATATTGGTATATAATGTATACATTTAATATACATTTATTTATGTTTCCCTCTAAATAGTGATTGTTTCCTACTGCATTCTTTTTAGTCAAATTTGTTGGAAAATGTTGCATTTTTCTTGAGTAGCTGGATTGTGGGAAAAATCTAAGATTTCACCAGATTACATTGTCATGTGACCATCTGTACATCATTGTGAGTGACCCTTACTATGGCTGTTACTTTACCTAATTCCCCATGTGTAGGGTTTAATGCCCACATAAGCAATGTTTAGTTTTGTTAAAGCATATATATTTTGATAAGAGTTTTCTAGAAGAAAAAAAAAGTCCAGTGTGACCAAGTCATCCACTCATTTCTCAGTTCGTAAGACTAATAGAATAGATTTCCCTCTAGAAGAAAAGTCTTAGATGTGGTTTAGCCTCTTCCGCATCGCTGTCCAGCCATTACTGAAATGTGCCAGGAAGCTAGCAACACAGATCTTTCATTTGGGGAAGTATATATATGTATTGAAAACAAAAAGTTTCTTTCCCCCTTAGCCCGATGCATATGACATGATTGTTCGTGAGCTTGGCTTTGAGATGAAGGCACAGCCCTCTAACAGGATGAAAACAGAAGAGGAATTAGCCAAAGAGGAACAGGAGCGGCTCAAGAAACTGGAGGTAGGGTGGTCGCGGTCCCTTCTGTGGAGTTGTGTCACCGCCTTCTGCTTATAGCCCTTTGTGTTTCATTTTGAAAGATTGGTTGGAGATGTAGTTTCATCAATGGATCTTTTTTAGTCTATTTAAAGTTTGCATTTATTCTACTGTAAATTTTTTTGTGATTATAAAAGCAAAAACATGAAATAAAATACAAATAATACCCAAGTACACCAAACAAAAAATGGACATTTCTGTAATTCCTCTACCCCAAAACAGCTGCTAAATCTATAGTAAATGTGTTGCCTTCTAAATTTTTTCTTCACATTTTAAAAAACTTTACTGCATTTAAACAAACAAAATAGACACATACTGTTCTAAAGCTGGCCTTTTTAATATAACCCACATCATGGGCCTCTTTCAGATAATGAAAACAGTGGAGCTGCTGGGTGCTGTGGGTGATAAGTTACAGTCAGGGCTGGCTGAATTAGGCCACAAAAACCTCAGATTCTAACGGATTTCCTTCCACTGTGGCTGGAGACTATTTCTGCCACAAAGTCGTCACAGTTTACCTTTGTCATGTGAGGAGGCCTTGCATGCAGTGCTGACCGGTTGTTTGCAATGCTCGATGCATGATTGCAAGCAGAGAGCAGGCTTGGTGCACAGTGCAGAGCCGGGAGGACCACGGGCCTGGCCCAGCTGCCGGGACGTCATGCCTCTGTTCCACGTGTGTGAGGAGCACACCGTGTGACTTCTCTTCCCTTCCTGTTCAGGCTGAAAGACTTCGGAGGATGTGTGGAAAGGATGCGGATGAGAATATTGAGAAACCAAAACACATGTCAGCAGATGATTTAAATGATGGCTTCGTACTTGATAAAGACGATAGGTGTTTGCTTTCTTACAAAGTAAGATGTTTGGCTTCATTTTCTTTCTTTTTTTAATTTAAAAACACATTTTCTGGTATTCATTTAAAGGGTTAATCACAGGTGGGAATTTTTAATCCTTTAAAATAGTTTCTGTAGGGCCGACCCCATGGCGCACTCGGGAGAGTGCGGCGCTGGGACGGGTTCGGATCCTATATAGGGATGGCCGGTGTGGGCAACAGCACACCAAGGGTTGCGATCCCCTTACCGCTCACGAAAAAAAAAAAGATAAAATAGTTTCTGTAAAGTTCTTCACCTGGGTGTCTGTGGTGTGCCAGATACCAAAGCTTTATAGAGAAGTTCCCTCCCTGTCCCTGGAAAAGGAGGACAGATGATAAAACTACACAGTCCGGTGGTTAACATCAGCTGCCTTTGTTTACAGCTATATCGTTCCCTGCCTGACTTCAGCATAATACTGAGTGAGCTAACTCAAGGTTACAGTTTTGTTTTTTTTTTTGTCTTTTGTCTTTTTCCGTGTCCGGCAACGGATCGCAACCCTCGGTGTCGCTCCCGCGCCTCGCTCAGCCAGTGAGCGGGAACCGGTCTGCATGTGGGATCCGAACCCTTGGGCAGGAGCGCCGCCGCGCTTCCCAAGCGGCGCACTTATCCAGTGCGCCACCGGTCCGGCCCAAGGTTACAGTTTTGAATATTTTTGAAGTAATTGAGTTTCTGGGACTGGTGCAGTTTTTTTTTTTTTTTTTTTTTTTTTTTTTTTTTTTTTTTTTTTTTTTT